GTGCAGATATCTTACCATTCATACCTTACAAATGTTTAACATGGAACAATTCAAATTCACAATGAAGTATAAATATTTTCATATTTTTCACCAACTTGAAATATCAAAAAGGATAATGAAACCATTCATTTCCACAGTTTTATGAGTAAAAAAGAACTAATCATGTACCTTAATATTATCATTTTATGTATCACTCAAAAGTACAAATAAACCTGAAGACAGAGTGCCATACTTATAGCACAGTATGAAAATATTGAGACATTTATCAGGCATATGTAAATAAACTGTATTTTAGAGTTTGTCACACCAACACAAGTCCATGTTTCTCTTTGGTTCAAATAATAAAAGAGGTAGATTCAAATAACATAAATACCTATTATTTCACTAGATTTTCATGAAAGTGTTGTCAATTTATAACAGAAATTACTAGAAATCAAGTGGGTCTAGGAACTCAATGAAAAAATATTAAAAATAACTTCAACTTCTAATCACACAAATCATAAAAGTTGACTACAAAGAATGGCTTTAGTAAGATTTTAGAATGTTACCAATATTATAAAGTAAGTTTTCCATAATGTTCCTAAAACTTTCTACCATGTTCCAAATGAAAATATGGATGTAAATGCTTACAAATTGTCTTTTACTTAAATATAAGTATCTCATATGTAAGATTAATATATACTAATATGAATATGTACTGTTCTTTTAGCTTTGTGCTACCCAAACTGAGAATGGCTGGTTCAAATATATTCATCAGTAAAGAGGAAATGAGCATGTCATTGACCCTTGATCACCTCACTTCATGTCATTAAGAAATTCCAGATTACTAAGAATGGTCCTGAGAAGCCTTCCTGATAAACAGAATCTGATTGAAAAAGTAGAAAACAAAGGAGACACAAAATAGAGATGCTCTTCAGAAACTGGTATAAGAAAAATGCATTTGTCTCCTTGATGTTTTTCAACGCTAAGACAGAATAAATAGAATCTTTCAAATAAATTGTTTCCTGTTGATAATTTAACAGTTTTATATGACAATCAGAGTATAATCCCAGGAACCAAATAACAGTGTAAGTAAAATGGAAATGTGCCTACTGAAATAAATATTATTTCATTGCTTCTCCTTACACATTCTGCCACTTATGTCCATTTTTACTCTGATTTAATTCTGAAAGAAAGATTGGCAAACAAACCCTATATTTATTTAAATGCTATAAAATACACTGCAAATACAATGATTTTCTATTAATGGTTCTATGAGAAAAGTTTAAGTCTATAAAGACATCTAAAATGTAAAAAAAAAATTAAGTCATAATGTTTTCTGATCATTTCTAAAAGACATTTAGGAATAAAGGAATTAGCATAAATTTGAATCAACCAGAATGAAGATTAGTGATTTATAATTCTACCATGCAAAATAAATTTAGCTCAAGTGAGTACATATTCAGATTTAGGATTCAGGGCACAGATCTGCAGAAGGACTAATCAGAAAACACAAAGTTCAATTTTGTGGCTTTCTTAAAACTTAATAAAACTATGATTTTTAATATTTTGTATACATAAAATTGAGTCCAAACAATTTAGCGATCACTGATATACTTCTGTTAAAAAAAAAAAAAAAATATATATATATATATATATATATATATATACTGCTTCTTTTGCCAGAGATTCATCACAATTGTAGAAGTCACTTAGAGATAGTTGAGAATTTCCATAAGCATGCTAAAGCAAAAACTTCAACTTGTCATTTCTGAGTTACTCCTAAAGTTTGCTTCATATTTTCATACACCACATAACTGATGCCTACAGCAGGGAGCACCTTCATGAAGTTTGGGGTGATGCCTCTGTAAAGTCCTGGTACTCCTTCTTTAGAAATTATTCTTCGAAAGAGGCCAACCATGTTCAGTTGTGAGGCTCCTTCTACCATGGCTAGAAAATTATAAAAACAAACAAACAAGGGTAATTTAGTATTTAAGCATGTTTACATTACAATAAACAACTAGGATTCAGGACCATATTTAGAATATGATGAAAGAAAAAGATAAAAATAAAACACCTTTTATTTTATTTTTATTTTTTAATATTTATTTTTTAGTTTTCGGCGGACACAACATCTTTGTTTGTATGTGGTGCTGAGGACTGAACCCGGGCCGCAGGCGTACCAGGCAAGCGCACTACCACTTGAGCCACATCCCCAGCCCCTAAAACACCTTTTAAAATTATCCTTTCTATGGCACCTGTCAGTGAGTGTCCTATCATAATGATGGCAAAAACAGTTCTTTATTGAATAATTACTATGCTCTAGGCATTGGGTTAATTACTTTCCTTGCTAACTCTACAAGGTAAACACATCCATTTTATAAATGGGCTTGGAACATTAAAAAAAATTGAACCCTTAGCTAGCAAGTGGTAGATCTGTGGGTTGGTTGACTCTAAAGCCATATGCTTTCCACCTCAATACTCTACCACCTCCTACTCCCTCATTAGCCAAGCACTGCACAGCAAACAGTTACATTTTGTCCAGTGGGGGAAGTACAGAGAAACTTTGAGAAGCTTAAGAAAACATAAGGGACTTGATCCTTGAAAATTATCTCAGTAGGATAGCAAAGGATGGAAGGAAACCTGTTTTGCTGCACAACAAAGACAAAGGTAGGAACCAACATATGTTAGGGGACACAGACAATTGTAGGATGTGGTCATTATACAGGTGGTACCAAGAGGCTGAAGTGGTCAAGGTAGGGGTAGGAAAATGAAGATGAAGCTAAAAGTATAGTGGGACAAATGACTAAAGGCTTTGGGGTTCCCACTAAGAAATTTGGAATTTACTCTGAAGACACTGAAGAGTTACAAAGATGTCTGAGCAGATGTAAAATGGTCAGACCTAACTTTGGAAACCACAAACATGGCAGCCACTCGAAGGTCTGTGCTGGAACTAGCAGATGGGAGGGGTAAGCTCATTAGGCAATGGTTTGATGCCTGGGTTTAAATTCTAGTGCCACTATTTACCAAATGTATAACTTTCTAGAAGTTCCTATCTTTGCCCCAGTTACTCATCTGCAAAATGTGGGTAATGTCAGTGTCAAGGTCCCCCAAATGATTACAATGGTTAAATGAGAGAATACTCAAAACATTTAGTTTACTACTTTGCATTCTTCTCTGCAATCACATGATTGGTTCTCAACTACTCCAAGGTGCTGCCTTTGCTCCTGCCCCATTAACTTCACAATGCTTTTCCTCAGGCTGAGATGCTCTTTCCTAATCCATTTCATCTGCCTCTGCCTAGCCAACTCCCACATGTCTTTCCAGTCACCAGCTGGAGTTAAGTTACAGCCTTTTCTCTGTGCTCCCCTAACAAAGGGGAGGTAATTTATTAAGGTTGTTCACTTTCTGGATGTGTGTCTGCTCCACTCTACAATGGCAGGAACCACATTTTACCTGTTGAGTGCTCTAATCTAGCATCCAGCAGTGTTTAGCACCCTGCAATGGCTCAAGAAGTATTTTTCAATTAATGACCCACTGCTTGTGAATGAGAGATGGATGCACTTGGAAAAGAGGTTGGGGATGGAGTTGTAGATGCCCAGGGTGCACTATTCAAAGAAATTAACAGTGGATGAGATTGAACAGGGAAAAAAGTAAAAGAAAGGTACCCAATGCATACTTTGATAGAGTGAGTATAGTTATAAAAGCCAGAAAATAGTAAGGAGAGAATAATCAGTGAGTGGACAGAAGAGCTAGGACAGAATAGTATAATCAAAGTGAAGAAAGGCGCTAGTGAAACAGTGAGGAAGAATCCCAGTTCAAAGTTTGTGAGGTCCAAGCAGCACTAACAACAAACAATTGTAGTCACTATTTACTAAAAATTTAACAAGTGCCATGTGCTTTACATATATTGCTACTAATTCTTTTCATGTCCATTCACAGAATAGAAAATGGAAACTCAGGGGCTGGAGTTGTAGGCTCAGCAGTAGAGTGCTTGCCTTGCACGTGTGAGGCACTGGGTTTGATTCTCATCACCACATATAAATAAATAGATAGATAGATAAATAGATAGATAAAATAAAGATTCATTAACAACTGGAAAAAAACATGATTCTCTTTAAAAAAAAAAAGAAAAAGAAAATGGAAACCCAAAGAAATTTAGGGCAAGGATATAAACCGAAACTCTATAGATACCAAAACTTATACTCTTATACATTCAACAGAATAAAAAGAAAATAAATCTTATTCTGTTTAAATATAAATCATGCATAAACATGTACTTTATATATGACATTAAAACAGTCCAAAGAAAATAATCTTATTCTGTTTATATAAAAATCATACATGTAAATGTGGTGTATCTATGGCATTAAAATTTTATGAAGTGGGAGATACTAAAGAACTTCCAAAGAGGAAACTTAAGGAGACAATAATGGGGGAAAAGTTTGAGAAATTCTCTTAAAACTACACTCAGCTGTTTCAATTAAATTGAAGTTCCAAAAGCACGTGACTGATGCAGCACTTTTTATTGGTGTTAATCAAAAACTCACCTTCAGAGGTGAAAAACCTCTATAATAAAAATTATAGAACACTAAACAAAAAAATTGAAGGAAACACTAAAAGATATAAGGACATCTCATGTTCACGGATAGGCAGAATTAATATTGTTAAAATGGTCAGAGTATCTAAATATACAGATTCAATGCAATTCCCATCAAAATACCCATTATGTTCTTAATAGAAGATACAGAGACAAGCCCACACAGCTACAATTATCTGATTCTTGACAAAGGAGCCCCAAACATACATTAGAAAGAAAAAAGACAGCCTCTTTAGTAATTAATGCTTAGAAAACTGGATATCCATATGTAGAAGAATGAAATTAAATTCTCATCTCTTGCCCTGGACAAAAGTAAACTCAAAATGAATCAAAGCCCTAAGAGCAGAAACTTTGCAACTATTAGAAGAATATGCTGGGAGCCATTAGCCAAGTAGGTATGACAATTTCCTTGCCAGCGTACCCCATGTTGCAGTGACATTGAATGTACTTAACCTTGCTCAAGGACCAAGGCAGATTAGGGTGTTCCCGGTTTTAAGATAATCTTGTTTAGGGCGTTCCCAGTTTAGGTTCCAGGTTTAAGGTTTAAGATTATTCCTGCTGGGAATAGGGCGTATCCTGCTGCCTGAGTTCCCCTTGAGTTCTCATGGGATTTAGACAGTATATTTTGGAGATAGAAGCCCAGTGGAGGTGAATTTGGGCAGAGAACGTGGATTTGGGCAGAGAACGTGGATTTCCCCAGAACGTGATTGTAGACGGCTGGTGTGAGTTCGGGAATAAAGAGTTGCTGTTTGAATCTACAAGCTGTGTGGTGGCTCGTGATTGTGTGCCCAGCCAGACTGCGGCATTTGTGCCCAGCCAGACTGTGGCATTTGGTGGCCCGTACGGGGAACTTCTGAAGCTTAGAGGTAAGTGAAATTTCTCACCCTTGAGGAAGAGAGAAAGAATGGGTCACCAATTCAAAAAACAATGTGTTATTGTTTTGATTTATTTTGTTTTTATTTCAAGTTGCCTGTTCCTAGAACTTTCTCAGGCAAACTGGGGAAAATGGGTGACTCAAGGTTTGAATTTGTTCGCCTCCGAGCAAGAGAAATTGTTAGAGGAAGGAGGCACCCCAGTGAGACCAAGAACAATTAGGGCATATGTTGATACAATACAAAAATGTAGCCAATGGCTTTTTAAAGACAAGTTATTAAGTATATCAATGGGACCATCATGGTATCCTGTAGAAAGATTTTTCTTCAACAAGAAAGAGAGGGCTAGTTCTGTTTGCTACACTTGTCTAAGATCTTGGTTTCTACAAAGTTCTGATTAATTTACAAAGCTAAAATGTTGAAACAGCAACCACTCTTTACTTATTAAGTTCCATAAGGTAATATATTTAAACATTATGTGTGTTTTCATAAATTGGTAAATGGAAAAATGTTTAATATTGCTTTGTGTCTGTGTCTTTGCTAAAACAAGGTTACTAAGTGTTAAGATTCTATCATGTGTAATTTATATACAAAGAGTAGAAAAATTTTCAGTTGGGTTTCAATTATAGTATTATAGTGTCATAAGAAACATGAAAGTCTTTCATCTTATTAAAGTGGAGTAATTTGTCTAAATCAGAAATTTTATAAGAGTTGTTTCAAAATGTGAATTTATAAAAAGGGTTAACAGTTAAAAAAAAGAGATAGAAAAAGATTCAAGATGTGGAAATATATTTTAATATAAAAGGTTAAAGGAGAAAGAAATGTTTCTAGATGAGATAATCTCTGTGTGGTAAAATAAAAAGTTGTAAAATGTCATTTAAAAAATTTTTGAGGAAACTAGACTTACTTTAAAAGCTTGAGAAAGGAATAAAGAAGAAAAAGGTATTTGTACATGGCAGATTGAGACAAAGCTTCTCAATGGAGTTAAAAAAAAAAAGCCTTTGGTTGAAGGGCAGCCATGTAAACTAACATTAAATCGATTTAAACAGAATCTAAGCCTCGTTTAAAAGAGTGAAGTTGTAGGTGGTGAAAAAGTACATTTAAAAGTACAGTATAGATGATAATTAAAAGGTTAAATTGAAGGTGGTCGAGATACCTTCATGGCGGAAAAAAGATTGCTTTATTGCATCATTCGAAGCCTAGTTAATCTTAAAGGCATTACTAAAAAAAATGGGAAGATAATAGGATAAAGATATTTAGATAAAGAAGATTAAAAATTTAAAGTGAAAAACTTTAAAGACAGAAGTATAGAAAGTTAAAAAGAATAAAGATAAAGAAGATGTAGGAAGATAAAAAAATGTAGGAAGACAAAAGTTTTAAACCCACAAAATAGAAAAAAAAAAACTAGGAGAAAAATAAGCAACTAAGGGTAAAAATACAAACCTTAGGGAAAAAAACTAGAAGATAGAAATAAGATAGAAAATGGTTGAAAATGTCAAGTAAGGTATTACACAGATAGAAAATGCAAAAAGCTAAGACAACTATTAGATACAGACATATACTTATTAAAGCAAAAAGAGGGAGTTGGAAGGGGGTACATATCCCCCAAAGACAAACTTAAAATAATGCTTTTTACTCTAAACTTTTTAAATTTGGATTCATCAGGACTTAGTGCTGCGGAAAGGCATATGTATCCAAAAAATGTACATAAGCCTAAAGTACTTTGGAAAGATATTCTAACAGGACAATGGAAAGGTCCTGACCCAGTGATTGTCTGGAGTGGGGGGTCTGTTTGTGTTTTTCCACAGGGAGAACAGCAGCCCATTTGGATTCCAGAGAGATTAACTAAAACAGTTTCTACAGATCGAAAAGAAGATGATTTGACTCAAATCCATAACAGCTGATATCCAGAACTCCAGCTTGGCCATTCTTACATCTGTGACAGTGATTAACCAGGATGCTTTTTTTCAATAGCTATTTTATTATTGCATTTTTCCACATCATAAGGTTCTATTTTTATTTTTTGAGCTCATACAAACCTAGGTTAATGTTTTTCTGATCAGTTTTATTTTTTGACTGTGGAGTTTTTAAACATTGCAATGGAGATTTCACCTAGGTAAAGCTACAAGGCCTTTACTAAGCTACAAGGCCTTTACTATTTTCTTATGTGTTGTACGTTTGTGTACACTCTTGTGTTTTGTGTTGTATGTCTGTATGTGCGTATGTCCATATTTCTTATATGAGGAGCGCTCATGAGAAAATGGATCCGAATTATTATTATTTTTTTTATTCACGTGATTTAAATGGTTTAATTTAAATTAGGTAAACAGCTGTTAAGGATTGTTTTTAAAGGTGGTTAACAGATCTGTTTGTTTACTAATTTAAATTAGGTAAAAAGCTGTTAAGGATTGTTTCTAAAGTAGGTTAACAGATCTGTTTGTTTACTTTCACCTTTCCTTTTCATTATATTTAATAATTCTTTTCAGGATAATGTCTCTTTAGCATCATTGCCAGAATTCCTATCTCCATCTCAGTGCTGGTGAAGAACTCAACAAGTAATGCTCAATCAAAGAGTCAACTTACTTTGGGAGGAAACGGATTTTGGGAGGAAATGGACATATTGATAGATTCCTCTGCTTTGAACTGCTTGCAGAACTTGCCTGGACTATGTAACTATCGTTTGGTGCAGCGAATTGTGGTAATGCTGGCATATCTTTGCTGATGGTGTCACCAGTGATGCAATTTTTCCCAAGGAGCCGTCAATTGGCTTGGTGTCGTGGCATTTCTGTATCCTCCTCCCTTCTGCTAGTGATGGTCTAAAATTTGGGGGCCAATGGCTTATGCTGGACCGGTAGTCAGTGACGGGTATGATCCAATTGCAGTGGTATCAACCTAAGACAGGAGGCTGACGCCTAAAGGTCAGTTTTCCGATGACGGGTAAGAACCATATGTTGAATTGGACAACCTACCAGGCACGGTCCATAAGCCACATTAACCTCACTCCCCCACTGGCACCAAGGCCAAATTTGGGGGCCAACAGAGGTGAGGCAAAGAACCTCACCCCCCCACTGGTGCATAGACCTATCCACAAGTATGGCTGTATGCTGGACCGGTAGTCAGTGACGGGTATGATTCAATTGCAGTGGTATCAACCTAAGACAGGAGGCTGACGCCTAAAGGTCAGTTTTTCCGATGACGGGTAAGAACCATATGTTGAATTGGACAACCTACCAGGCACGGTCCTTAAGCCACATTGCTTGTTGTTTAATTAATCAGAAGGGGGGAGATGCTGGGAGCCATTAGCCAAGTAGGTATGACAATTTCCTTGCCAGCGTACCCCATGTTGCAGTGACATTGAATGTACTTAACCTTGCTCAAGGACCAAGGCAGATTAGGGTGTTCCCGGTTTTAAGATAATCTTGTTTAGGGCGTTCCCAGTTTAGGTTCCAGGTTTAAGGTTTAAGATTATTCCTGCTGGGAATAGGGCGTATCCTGCTGCCTGAGTTCCCCTTGAGTTCTCACGGGATTTAGACAGTATATTTTGGAGATAGAAGCCCAGTGGAGGTGAATTTGGGCAGAGAACGTGGATTTGGGCAGAGAACGTGGATTTCCCCAGAACGTGATTGTAGACGGCTGGTGTGAGTTCGGGAATAAAGAGTTGCTGTTTGAATCTACAAGCTGTGTGGTGGCTCGTGATTGTGTGCCCAGCCAGACTGCGGCATTTGTGCCCAGCCAGACTGTGGCAAGAATAGGTGAAAAACTACAAATAGAACTACCATATGATCCAGCTATATGACTTGTTGGTATTTATCCAAAAGAATTAAAGTCAGCATACTTTAAAGATACATGAATGTTTACTTCAGCACACTCAAGTTATGGAATCAGCCTAGATGTATCAAGAGATGAAAAAATAAAGAAAATGTGGTATGTAAACACAATGTAGTTTTATTCAGCCATAAAGAAGAATAAAATTATGTCATTTTGTAGAAAATTAATGATACTAGAAAGCAATGTTGAGCAAAATAAGTCAGATTCAAAGATTCCCTCATATGCAGGAAGCTAGAGGGAAAAGACTGAGAAAAAGAGGATACCATGGAATCAGAAAAGTGACTATTAGGGAGGGAAGAGAAAAAGGGTGATGAGATATTGGATAGTGAAACTGATCATATTGTGTTTTTATGTTTGTGCAAATATGCCACATTAAAACACATCAATCTATATAACTGAGATGCACCAATTTAAAAATAAATAAATAAACTTACCTTGGGCTTGCATGCGAGTCCTCACCAAAGCCAAGGGGTAGCTGGCCAGCTGGCCACAGGTGCTGGATAAGGCACCACATCCCAGCAACACCATGACACCAGGGTTTACAGAGTCCTTTGCAAAATTATCCAGCCAATGGGACTTTAAGAGCTGTCCCAGAAATGGAGAAAAGAATAAAAATAATGAACAACAAGCTTGACAATCACTCTCACTCTAGGCAAGCATTTCCACAACTATTCTCATCTTCATAAGAGATTGCCATTGTCTGTGAGAGGGGGTACACGTTCCTGGGAGCAACAGTCATGGCAGGAGGCAGCAGCTCTACAGGGAGGTAGGGAAGCAACTGGAGATTCAGTACATGAGAGGTATGCCCTGGTTGTTCATCTTCTTTTAAAACAAACCTGAAGATCAATAACACACCAAATGTTGTAGAATCCAAAGAATATTTTTTTATGGTAAATACTAATAAAAACATTATAACACTACTTATATCTAAGTTTACACTCTTGACACTTTCATTATTTCATTTGGTCCTTATAGAAACTCTGACATGGATCTATTATTCTGATCTTAGTAATAATGTATTCCAATGGAGATTTTTTTAAAAAGGGCTCAGAATCAGTGTGCTGATCTAGAGCCATCTTCTCTCCCCTGTTATTCGAGGCCCCTGTATTTCATTAGAAGGCAACACCCAGGATAAGTTGTATTAAATATATGAGTTAATTAGCTCTTTCAACATAAAATATTTTAGGCATAAAATTTATGCTAATATGGTATGTAACTAGTACAAATCATTTGGTTTTTAATCCTGTAAGATTATCATCAGATTTCTTAATGGAAACCTTGCAGGCTAAAAGGAAGTGATATGTTATATTCGAAGTGCTAAAAATAAAAATGTGTCAATCAAGAATACTGTATTGGCAAAAGTGTTCTATAAATATGAAGGAGAAGTTAAGAGCTTCCTAGATATATGAAAGCTGAGACAGTTTATCACCACTAGACCTGCCCTACAAGAAATGCTAAAGGGAATCCTTCAAGTGGAAAGAAAAGGCCAATAAACAGCGACACAAAACCATAGGAAAATATCAACCTTTGGTAAAGGTAAATATAAATTATAAAATTCTGTAGAATTGTACTGAAGGATGTAAATAGCTTCAAGCTCTGGTACAGAAGTTTAAAAAACAAAAGCATAAAAAGTAATTATAAATCTGTTCATGGACATACAATATAAAGAGAAGTCATTTGTGTCATTAATAATAACAAAGTGGAAGGAGGAGGTCAGAGACATAGAGGACTAGAGCTTTCATATAAGATTGGAGTTAAGTTGCAATTAGTTTAAAAGAGATTATTATAGCCTTAATATGTTTTATTTAATTGCAATAGTAACCACAAAACTAATATTTATAGTTCAGACACAGAAGGAAATGAGAATTAAAACATGTCACTACAAAAAAAATTAACACCAAAGAAGGTAATAAGAAAGGAAAGGAGGAACAAAAAAACTATAAGACAAACAGAAAACAGTAAACAAAATGGCAATAGCAAGTTCTATCAGTAACTGCTTTCAATGTAATAGATTAAAGGTCTTTATTAAAAAATATAAATCACTGAATGATACAACACATAGGATCAACCATATTCTATCGACAAGAGGCTCATGTTAGATATAAGAACACACATAAGCTAGAAGCAAAAGAATGGAAAAAGATGAAGTTGTGTGCTGCTGAATGATAAGGACACCTGAGAAATGCGTTCCCCCAGGTGTTTCACTGTCATGTGAGCACTGTGGAATGTACTTACACAAACCTAGATAGTGTGGCCTACTTCACACCCAGGCCATATGGTGCATACATATGGTGCAGGTATTTCTCCCAGGGCCAAGATGAACTAAACAACGTGAGATTAAACCAAACACAAGAGGAAATGAGGTAATCAAGAGATTCACAAAGATGAGATGTTGAGCTGGGGCTGGGACTCAGTGGTGGAGCACTTGCATAGCATGTGTGAGGCACTGGGTTCAATTCTCAGTACCATATAAAAATAAATAAAGGGGCTGGGCGCCGTGGCCACACCTGTAATCCCAGCAGCTCGGGGAGGCAGGAGGATGGTGAGTTTAAAGCCAGCCTCAGCAGTTTAGCCAGGTGCTAAGCAACTCAGTAAGGCTGGGGATATGGCTCAGTGGTCAAGTTCCCCCGAGTTCAATCCCTGGCACCCAAATATAAATAAATAAATAAATAAAGGTCCACCAACAATTAATACAATATTTTTAAAAAATTATGAGACGTATAAGGCTACTGCTGATACAACATAATATACTATATTACAGTAGACAATTTTTTGGGGGGACTACTAGGGATTGAACCCAAGGGAGGCTTAACCAGTGAGCCATATTTCAGCCCTTTTTAATATTTTACTTAAAGACAGGATTTCACTGAGTTGCTTAGAGCCTCACTAAGTTGCTGAGGCTGGCTTTGAGCTTGTAGTCCTCCTGTCTCAGCTTCCAGAGCTGCTGCCCAGATCATTAGACATTTTTTTAAAATAGGAATATACCATATATGTATAATATGTCAAAACACACTCTACTGTTACGTATATCTAAAAAGAACAAACTAAAAAATATTCTAAAAAGTAGGAGTACACTCTAAAGTAACAATAAATAGTAGAATACAATAAGTACATAAACCCGTGACATAGTCATTTATCACCATTACTGAGTATTACATGTTGTACATAATTGTATGTGCTATACTTTCATACAACTAGCAGCAGGATAGGTTTGTTTGCACCAGCATCACTGCAACACGTGAGTAGTTCCTCACACTAATGCTGTTAAGATGCCTGTGACATCACTGGGCAACAGGAATTTTTCAGCTCCATTATAATCTTGTGGGACCACCATCACATGTGTCCTTCATTGTCCCAAACATTGCTATATGGTGGATAATTGTATGTATATACAATGGAATATTATTTATCCAGTAAAAATAATGAAGTTCTGACACATGCTGCAGCATGAAGGAATCTTGAAGACATATGCCAAGTGAAATAAGCCAGATGTAAAAAGACAAGATTGTATGATTTCACTTACAAAACCTCTGGAGTATACAAATTCATAAGACAGAAAGTGGAGTAGAGGTTACAAGAGAGTGAAGGGAAGGTGGGGCAGGGAGTTTACTGCTTAATAATTAAAACTCTCTATTTAGCCTGATAAAAAATGTTTTAGAAATACACAGTGATGAAGGCTCCACAAATACTGTGAATATGACTAATGTCACTGAATTGAACATTTAAAGCTGTTGAAATGGTAAATTTGATGTCACGTTATCATAATTTTAAAAAGTTAATAATGATGTAACATACCAAAAGTTTTTGAATTATAATGCTTTAAGTGGGTGCAATATATGGTATCGCAATAAAGTTGTTAAAATTAAGAAGTGGCAAAGTCCTCTAAAAAAGCTTTCTTTACACATCCCCACCTCTCCCCCTCAGCTATAGATTGGGTCTCCTCCTAATATGTGCCCCGGCTTATGTCTGTCATAATACAACTAACCAACCACTGTGCTTTAGCTGTAAGCTTATCTGT